TGGTGGTTTATTGACATTGGGGCCTGGTAGTTTATTGCCATTGGGGTCTGGTGGTTTATTGACATTGGGGCCTTGTAGTTTATTGACATTGGAGCCTGGTGGTTTATTGACATTGAGGACTGGTGGTTTATTGCCATTGGGGCCTGGTAGTTTATTGACATTGGGGCCTGGTGGTTTATTGGCATTGGGGCCTGGTGGTTTATTGACATTGGAGCCTGGTGGTTTATTGACATTGGGGCCTGGTGGTTTATTGACATTGGGGCCTGGTAGTTTATTGACATTGGGGCCTGGTAGTTTATTGACATTGGAGCCTGGTGGTTTATTGACATTGGAGCCTGGTGGTTTATTGACATTGGGGCCTGGTGGTTTATTGACATTGGAGCCTGGTGGTTTATTGACATTGGGGCCTGGTGGTTTATTGACATTGGAGCCTGGTGGTTTATTGACATTGGAGCCTGGTGGTTTATTGACATTGGAGCCTGGTGGTTTATTGACATTGGGGCCTGGTGGTTTATTGACATTGTGGGCTAGTGGTTTATTGACATTGGGGCCTGGTGGTTTATTGACATTGGAGCCTGGTGGTTTATTGACATTGGGGCCTGGTAGTTTATTGACATTGGGGCCTGGTAGTTTATTGAAATAGGTGCTTTGCCTTTGTCCTAAGGTATACGGTTGAATACTGCTCAAGTCTGCCTTTAAGAAAAGTAGGATGTAAAACTCCAATCATTTCAATTTTTGTCAGTCTGCTTTTATGAGACGAGAAACAATAAATTGAGAATGTAGATGACCGTTAACATGGTGTCGTCGTTGATATACTGAAATATTCACAGATTAGAGAATTAAGATCTAAGCAACTAATTACAGAATGACTACGTGACATCTTGCACCCCATTGGTCTATAGACATGTAATATCACAACTCAAACATCATTACATCTATTCTGTAGGACATCACCCTTACTTTTATATTGTTTGTATCAAGAGTGACTCTGTGAATCTTGAAATTGAAGTTAAAAATAAGATTATTCATCCATTTCTCTCCTTCCTTCTGTCTATCTATCCATGAATGAATGAAGTAAGAAGTTAAAAATAAGAAAGGAAGGGAGAACCTTTACACCAGAAGAAATTGTGACAGACCAGGATCAGTCCTTAGATGTTCCTTCATACAACAATGATAAAGATAAATCCTTGATACCAATATATTTACTTTGTCTTGTAGAAACGAGTTAATTTGGATTCTAAAATGAGAGTTTCTGTAACTGAGACAGGATTTCTTTCAGAAACAAACATGTAAACACCAGTTGATCAAGTGTACTGATTTATCTAAAATTTCAGAAAGCAAAAAGACATTGTACTATCTTTTGTTTAGTGTATCAAACAGCTGTTCAGGTTGACAAAACAAACCAGAAATTACCCAAAGATTGATTTTTTTAAAGTGTAACCAATTCTTTGAGAAGGGAAGATATTCAAGATATAATCCATGTTATATATTACAAGTCTATTCAAGACGAGATCTTCCTAAAAACAACATGGTGAGTATAATTTTGATTTTCAGACACGTCTAAAGAGGGATATTCAATGCGGTCAACTGGGATTTGAAGCAGCTCAACTTTCAGGACTGTGTCCAAGGTAGGAGAACCTGGAGGGAGGTGTACAGCTTCAGGACTACGTCCTAGGTAGTGGAACCAATTGCTAACCAGTAATAGATGATGTTGCTGACATCAAAGATCAAGGCCAGGAGGTCATATTGACCATCTCTAGTTACCAAGACCCGGAGCTTGTTGACTTAGCTCCTATACCTCTTTGGGCTGTATAATTTATTATTATATGATCCTTAAAGACTGTCCTAGATATCGTAGACTAAGACCTAGTCGACACACCTGCCTGGTTTAATCTCAACCATAATCTAATTTCTTCCCTTCACTGATCAATGATCAAACATAAAGATTTGGTTACACTTTTGTTGGATGTTAATATCAAGAACAAAATTCCATCAGCCAATATCAAATTCTAATTTTTAGCTATTGATAATCTAAATAAAAGAACAACACAATGAACAGTGCTTTCTGTAAGGAGTCAAACATCAACTACATCTAAAACAACCCAGTTCTAAATGTGAGAATCTAAGAAAAATTCAGTTCAATTCCTAGAAACTCCATTTTGTTTTGATTGGCTAAGAATACAGGTTTCTCTAAACAACAAATTACAGCCGAATGTGTAAAAAACAAACCATAAGAAGCCTCAGACCACAATTAAATGTTTATCTAAACATTAAAACAAATAAAATACAAAAGAGTATAAATCTCGGTGAGTAATTGGTGAGTAATCACATTGCAGTCGGTGATTAATCACTTTGTAATCGTTGAGTAAATACTTTGTAATCGGTGAGTGATCTCTTTGTAACCGGTAAGTAATCCCTTTGTAATCGATGAGTAATCACTTTGTAACCGATAAGTAATTACTTTGTAGCCGGTGAATAATAGGTGACTAATCACTTGGTAATTGGTGAGTAATCATTTTGTAATAGGTGAGTAATAGGTGAGTAATCACTTTGTAACCGAGAAGTAATCACTTTGTGGTCGACTAGTAATCACTTTGTAATCAGTGAGTAATCTCTTTGTAACCGGCAAGTAATCACTTGTAATAGGTGAGATATCCCTTTGTAATCGGTGAGTAATAAATTTTTTTACCCGTGAGTAATTGGTGGGTTATCACTCTGTAATCACTTAGTAATCGGTAAGTAATTACCTTCAAACCGGTAAGTAATCCCTTTTTTTTTATCGGGGTGAGTTATCATTTTTTAATCGGCGAGTAATCACTTTTTTTTATTGGGGAGTAATTACCTTCTTATCGGTAAGTAATCACTTTTTTTTATCGGTAAGTAATAAATGAGTAAGGGGTGACCAACAACTTTTTAAACCTTAAGTAATCACAATGTAATTTTGTGAGTAATCACTTTTTTTAACGTTGAGTAATCCCTTTGTTATCGGTGAGTAATCGATGAGTAATTACTTTTTTTTACCGGTGTGTAAAGTTATCACTTTGTAATAACTTTGTAATCGGTGAGCAATTGCCTTCTAACCGTTAAGTAATACTGTTTTTTTTTATTGGGATGAGTAATCATTCTTTTTTGGTGAGTAATCACTTTTGTTGTTTATCGGTCATTAATCACTTTTGTTGTTTATCGGTCAGTAATCCCTTTTTATCCGTGAGTAATCACCTTTTCGTTGAGTAATTGGTGAGTTATCACTTTATAATCATATAATAGAGTTATCTCCCTTACAATATCAGACTATTGAAGTCAATGTTGTCGAGAATAATATAATAGCGTTATCTCTCTCACAATATCAGTCTATTGAAGATAATGTTGTTTCAAATTATCTTATAGAGTTACCTACCTTACAATATCAGATTATTGAAGTCAATGTTGTCGAGAATAATATAATAGCGTTATCTCTCTCACAATATCAGTCTATTGAAGACAATGTTGTTTCAAATTATCTAATAGAGTTATCTACCTTACAATATCAGATTATTGAAGTCAATGTTGTCGTGAATAATATAAAAGCGTTATCTCCCTCACAATATCAGTCTATTGAAGACAATGTTGTTTCAAATTATCTAATAGAGTTATCTCCCTTACAATATCAGTCTATTGAAGATAATGTTGTTTCAAATTATCTAATAGAGTTATCTCCCTTACAATATCAGTCTATTGAAGATAATGTTGTTTCAAATTATATAATAGAGTTATCTACCTTACAATATCAGATTATTGAAGTCAATGTTGTTTCAAATTATATAATAGAGTTATCTCCCTTACAATATCAGTCTATTGAAGTCAATGTGGTTAAGAATAATATTATCGGGTTATTTCCCTTACAATAACAGTCTTTTGTATATAAATTATCGAGAACAATATAATCGAGTTATCTCCCTTACAACTTCAGTCTTTTAAAGTCAATGTTGTTGAGAATTATAACCCTATCTCCCTAACTTTAATTGATTTATAGAATTGAGTTATCTCGCATTATTACAATATAAACTTTAATTGATATATAGAATTGAGTTATCTCCTTTTATTACAATATAAATTGTAATTGATCTATTAAATTGAGTTATCTCCCATTATAACAATATCAAATGTAATTGATATATAAAATTGAGTTATCTCCCATTATTACATTATAAACTGTTAAATTGAGTTATCCCCCTTTATTACAATATAAACTTTAATTGATATATAGAGTTATCTTTCATTATTACAATATAAACTGTAATTGATATTAAATTGAGTTATCTCCCTTTATTACAATGTCAACAGCAATTGATATATAAAATTGAGTTATCTCCCTTTATTACAATATAAACCGTAATTGATGTATAAATTAAATGTAATTGATATATAAAATTGAGTTATCTCCCTTTATTACCATATAAACTGTAATTGATATTAAATTGAATAATCTCCCTTTATTACAATATAAACTTTGATTGATAAATAGAGTTATCTCCCATTATTACAATATAAACTGTCATTGATATTAAATTGAGTTATCTCCATTTATTATAATATTAACTGTAATTGATATATAGAGTTATCTCCCATTATTACAATATAAATTATAATTGATATTAAATTGAGTTATCTCCCTTTATTACAATATAAACTGTAATTGATATTAAATTGAGTTATCTCCCTTTATTACAATATAAACTTTAATTGATGTATAACCTTAAATCCCTTTATTACAATATAAACTGTAATTGATATTAAGTTGAGTTATTTCCCTCCTTTATTACAACATAAACTGTAATTGATATTAAATTGAGTTATCTCCCTTTATTACAATATAAACTGTAATTGATATATAAAATTGAGTTATCTCCCTTTATTACAATATAAACTTTAATTGATATTATATTGAGTTATCTCCCTTTAATACAATATAAACTTTAATTGATATTAAATCGAATTATCTACCGTTATTACAATATAAACTTTAATTGATATTAAATTGAGTTATCCCCCTTTATTACAATCTAAACTTTAATTGATTTACCGAGTTATCTCCCATTATTACCATATAAACTGTAATTGATATGTAAAATTGAGTTATCTCCCATTATTACAATATAAACTTTAATTGATATATAGAGTTATCTCCCATTATTACAATATAAACTGTAATTGATATATAAAATTGAGTTATCTCCCATTATTACAATATAAACTGTAATTGATATATAGAGTTATCTCCCATTATTACAATAAACACTGTAATTGATATATAGATTTATCTCCCGTTATTACAACATAAACTGTAATTGATATTATATTGAGTTATCTCCCTTTAATACAATATAAACTTTAATTAATATTAAATCGAGTTATCTACCGTTATTACAATATAAACTGTAATTGATATGAAATTGAGTTATCTCCCTTTATTACAATATAGACTGTAATTGATACTAGATTGAGTTATCTCCCTTTATTACAATATAAACTTTAATTGATATATAGAGTTA